TTTAAACTTTCTTTTCAATATTAGTCATATGGTTACTGTAGGCAAGCTAGCATTTAATTCATTGTACTAACACATAAGAGATGTTGTTTCTTTCATGATGTATACCATGTTATATACAAATCAAATAAAGAAATGATGTTTACCTACAAAAAAAAAAAATATTTTATATCTTAAAAATTAATTATATAATAAATTTTTTTACTTAATTAATAAAAATTAAAGAAAGATCTTATTTAATATTAAAAAAACTTTATTATAAAATTTTTTAAAAATTATTAATAAACTTTTAAATATGTAATAAAAATTTCTTTAAGTTTTTTATAATTTTATATATTTTTAAAAATAAAAAATTTTTTTATTTATAATACTAATTCAAATTTTTACAAATAAATTATAAAAAATATAATAATTGAAATTTTTTATTTTTTATATGAATTATAATACTATAATTAAAAATTATTTATTTAAAATCAATATTTAAAAAGTTTGTCAAGAATAGATTTTTTTTTTAAAAATTAAAATATTTTCATCTTATAAATATTTTAAAAAAATTTTTCTTATAATATAAAATTAAATACTATTATAATATAATCCTTATTTTCAAATATTATTTTATTAAAAAATTTTTTATTTGAATATTTTAAAATTTAAAAAAAAATAAAAAATGGTTTTATTAATTTTCCAGACAAATTTGTTTGAAAATGCTTACAATTTAAGGGATAAGTAATAGACAATTATTTAATGAATAAAGATATACATATTTCAATTAAATTGTCTATTTCAAATATGAATCCATATATTTAATCTTAAACTATTTTTATAAATAAAAAAAAAGTTTTTTTTTTTGACATAATATTTATTTTTAATAAATTTTAATAATTTATATGGTATGTATTTATTATTTATTTATTTAAAAAATATTTTAACACGTTAAATAAATAATAGAGAAAATATTGAAATAAAAAAAAACGTCAAATATTATTAAAAAACGGTTTGTCGAAATAAAACTTGAGATCCAGTATTACTTTATTTGGTGATCCACCTCACGTGAATTTCTACTGGTTTTTATTGTCAGTTAGTTGACCTTTTCTGGTAACAACTTGTCTTACCAAGAAACACCAATCATTATTTATCCAACACATGCATTTAGGATTATAATGTCAAAGCGTACTTAGGTTTGCATCCTCTTCTATAACTACTCCATCTATCCCTCCCGACCACCACCATCGTCGTCGTAGACAAATAGTGCGCGTATAGATACTGTTAATAGTGGAATATGTATACTCAAGATAATTCCAAAATGAACGGAGACACGAAACAACTATTTGCTTTAATAAAGAGGATAAATCTAAAGGTATTTCACATGAGGAATTGAAATTTTTAGAATACGTTTGAATCTAACTTTTGCAATAAAAATTTGATCTGCAATTTAGCTACCATGTAATAGTGGCAAAAAACTAGAAGTTTTAGAAACCGATCCTCTTATCTTGCAAACCGTAAATTCCATAGTTGACTTATCGAGATATAGACTAAGCACTATCGCTGATAATTTGACGCAATTATTAGAAACCATATCAAGGGTATGCCATATTTAATTTAATCATTATTTTCTTTACATTCATCATATATTATTGAGATTCATTCTCTTATCATTGTAATTAGCCTTCGTCGATGGTGCTGGAAGATTATGTTCCCTTTGATATTCTTCAATCACAATTATTCATCCTAAAAATTCTTTCCGCATGTGTAACAAATCACTGGAAACACTATCGAGGATCGCAAAAAGAGTTGGAATCAAAAGTTTTATACAATAATAGTCAGCAAACCTATTTTCAGGATCAGGATCTATCATCATCATCATCATCGTCGTCGTCATCACCATCACCATCCACAAGTTTTCCGAGAGACGTTGCCATTAACCAAAATAATATTGAAAACGATCAAAACCTTAACAATAAAAACGACGCAAGCATCAAAAATATCGATAGTCATGAGAATGGGATAAATTCGCTTCCTGCAAGATCACAACTTAAACTACCAAAATCATGGGATGATCCTCCACCGTTAGATGATTCGTTAGCAAAATACATATTAAGTGTGCTATCCCGATTCTTACATCAATTCTCTACTCAAGAAGAAAATAATCCTAATGTGCCGAATAATAACGGCCAACAAAATAATCCCAATGTCCAATGGTCACCTGCAACCTATGATATAGTATGCGAAATTTTTAAGAATGCGGGTCGCGTGATATTTTATATAAGCGCTTCAAATTGGAATGTGGTGTTTTCTCGAATTAAAAGTCGGATAGGAAATTTAACTTCGACAAATGACGATAGTCCTGAAACTGCCGAGTTGAAGTTGTTGGAATGTTCGGATTTAAATTCCAAACGGTTGTCTATGGTCTTGTCAGGTTTCTATTTTTTAATTGTGCTCCGTAATTCTGTTGACAATGTTTTTTTTTAGATAAATGATCAAACATAATTTGCCAATATTTATATCACGTGATCAGAACTCTGTGTCTCGTTTATTCAACTTAAAAAATCCGCACAAATAACGATGGCCATTGTTTTACGCAAAGCCATTTGGAATTGGATCGAAGTGTTCCCTGCAGAGTTTGTCGCCCTATGTCAAAGTCAAAAACGTTTGGAGGGTACTCCTGAGGTTTTATTTGACATATGCCATGGGCTATCTGATAACAATCGAAAGAAGGCAGTTTTTTGGCCTCTGCAAACCATGTTGTTGATTCTGTGTCCAGATATATTATTAAATGCTTCGATGGCCGAACGGACTTCGTCATCAATGAATAAAAAGGTTAATTATATTTGCTCAAATCTTTTACATAATGTGAGAAATTTTGTAGTCAAACTGCTTGGCTGAAAGTTCACGATTGCTCCTTCGCAGGTTATATTTCTTGATTCATTAAGGAACTCGTTAAAGCGCACGAAATTAGCTAATGTGGCAGCAGTGTGTTATGTGGATATCTGCAAAGCATCAACATATGTCTCCAATAGTGACTCTGCATTGAGGTTGATTGTTCCGGAGATTGAGAACGATCTGCGGGTAATAATTGACGATTATCGTTTGATTATGGAAATATCTATTATATTTATTCACCTGTCTGCATTATATATGAATAGGAAAAACTATTTGACCCTTTGCATCCATTTTTCAACGATCAACAAATCGATCAACGCTTGATGACCGAGTGCCTGACGGCATTGTTTCGATTGAACAAGGACACCTTACACTCAATGATTCCTATATGTTTATCTGATGCTGCTCCGAGCGTATTCAAATTAGTGTTGGTGAAAAGTTGCTACGCTATTGCGTCTGAGGTATTATAACAAATGAAAATCTTGTTTTTTAAACATCATTTGATTAATGTTTATAATATTCAATTGTTACTATTTCACTCATACAATTTTTTACAGGAAAACGTGTTTCCCTGGACACCTCATTTTCATTCAATGTATCCAATCCTTGCCACACCCCTACGAAAACTATTTCACCTATACATAAACAATCGGGATAGAGCATTAGATGGACCCAAGAAGAAGGTGCAGCGTGAAGAGCTGATGAGTGAGAAAATGGAGATAATATTGAATATATTGAAGTTGTATAAAACGGACCCGTTATTGGCTCTTGTTGTATGCATTTGCTTCTTTCTTGAACCAATTTATTTATTGAGTTTCTTTTTAACTTGATTTTTTTCTTCTTCTCGATTCTATAGCACTGCGATCCTAACGAAAATCCCGAAGAGATTCGCACAGTAATTTACGGAATGACTTTATGTGTGAATGATTACAATAGTGTGATACGCACTACGGCAGCTGAGACGTTATTGGAATTGCATAACATGGAGTTAATTAAGCAATGGGGACCGCCAGAAAAGATGATGAGAAGCTTTTGGTCAACTAGGTAATTGAATATGGAAAGTGGGATATGCATGATATTAGCGAATGACACGATTAAATTTTGGTTGTCAATTTTAACAATGTAACTGGATTTGTGGAGAACGCGTACATAGAGTGTTATGAAGATTATTTGTATTTTGTATGTTACTCACTAATTAATCGGTCATATTCCCTTTTTTTTTTCATAATAATTAGTTCTCAAGTGATGTTGGCGATCGCAAGGCAAATTTTGGATTTTAAGGAACGCGAAGAAGGAACAAAATATTTACTAGATCTGTTGCTTCAATTGTTTATACGAAGGAACGAATTTCTTAAAGCTCACAAGGTTAGTATTGTATCGGTTGATATTAGTAGAGTTTTTATTGGTTGGATTATTGAATGATTACGATGTTAGATATTTTCCATATTTCACACACCGTGATGCATTTTCTTTTCTAATCTATTCGTTTGTTTTTCATACCTTAACAGGAGGAATCGAATGTCGGAATAAACACTCCGGAACGACTTGGTTGTAACATCGTATTAGAAATTGCCCTATTGGTTTTACTCTGTTCCGCTGACACCGACATATGCACAATGGCGACCAATTGCTTTGGTCAGTTATGCATTGAAGCTCAACTGACTTCTGAATTAATTGCTGACGTGGATATACATGCTGCGCCACCTTCGGAGTTGCCGATCGTAGAGAACTTGGATGTGTATTCCGAGTTATCCGAGCCTCACATTGTTCCTGGTAAGTCAGAGTCAATGAAAAAGAGGATGAGGGTGTGCGATCGAATTAGTCAAAGGCTTTATATATATTGTATGGACAGAATAAACAGTAACGATAATGGAAGTTACAGAGCCATCTATAATAATGTTACTTGATAGAAAATTTATATTTTAAATGCAGGTCGAATGGCACAGCAAAAACGCATTCGAAAACTACTGCGTCGGATGAAAGTGTCCACACCTGGTAATTTGGCAGCTTGGGAAGAAGCATATAAACGATGGCGAACGCTAAAGGGCCTAATTGCAAGAGCAGGAAACGCGAAAGTCAATTCCACAGATCCAAATATAAATGTATTATCAGAACTTTTTCTTTCTTTTTAAAGTCATGGATTTGTAATGATATTTTGTTGCACATTTAATAGGCTCAACAAACAGAATGGCATAACTATACTGGATTTCTTTCTTCTTTGGGAGGCTGTTGTGTAAGTGAGAGGCAGATTGTCAATCCTGCTAATGGAGTTGAGGGAACACAAGGATCGAATTATCTCATGGTGGAAAAATATATTATAGAAATGGTTGATCTGCTTGTGTGCGAATCGCAGTTCGCTCGTGAAAGTGTCCGAGAAACCCTGGGGTCTGAACTGAGCCCAAGATTATATGTCATACTATTCCGACATCTTGAATCGATAGTTGAAAGATTTTTTGATGCTGATGGCGAAGTGATTTTTAACGACCGTTATACGCTATTCGTTGACCAAGCTATAACAGTATTGAAGCTTATACTGGATCGAATTCAAGATTCAGCAGAGGAATTGTGCCCTGTAGACTTGGGTGGTTTAGTTTTGTCATTTGCAAGATATTTAAATCGATTAGGGCCCGCGAATGCGGCATTGCGCATAAAGAAAAAGATGTGTCAATTGGCTGAAGTTCTCATGACGAAAAAAGATTATGTTCCTCTTCGTCAGGAAATTATTTTACGGAATCGGTTGTTGGAAATATTCATTGAGTGGACTTCTGATTTTACTATGGTAGGTTCATATAATGGAAATGATGGTGGCGGATGAAATTTTTTAATACTTATATCGGTTATTTATCTTTGCTAATAAACTTGGAATGGTAAATTTATTTATAGAAAACGGATGCACAAGGAAATAGCGAAAATTCTTCGAACAGGAGTGAACGAATGTATCGAGAGTTAGATCAAGTGTGCCTAAAGACCATCGTGTCGTTATTATCGCAGCTACCACTTCAACCATCAGAGACTGTACACGAAGCAGAATTGAGTGGGATAAAGTCGAGATTGTTCTACAAGTATTTTTCATTCTTTATAAAATTATTGAACCGGTGTAGGATTTTGGAAGTACGTGTTGATGTTTCATCATGTTTGTGAAATAATTATTGATATTATTAATCAAAAAATTAATTAATCATAATTTATATGTTCAATATTTGTTTAGGCAATTGATAGTGGGACACACTCAGCGAAAAACAACCAGGATCTGCAGATGCTGTTGTCAAAGGTAATGAGTTATAGTCGATTTCATACGTGTATTGTAAGTAGTTGTATTACTTATCACACTTCTCCCCGTTACATTGTAATGTTTTAATAGTCGAAAGAATACGTCAAAGATTTGGGTCCATTGAAAGATTATACAATATTGGCGCTTAGTAACTTACTAAGCGCAAATATTGATTCAGGATTAAAATATTCATTGTCGATGGGCTATCATGAGGACACGAAGACACGCACTGCATTCATGCAAGTGCTCACCAATATCCTGAATCAGGGCACCGAGTTTGAGGGATTAGCAGAGAATGCAATGAATGACAGATATGATAAGTTGGTAGAGGTGAGTATTTATTTTTTTAGGATTATTGGTGTATTTATGTTCTCCTTTTAATTATGGGTTTTCTGAATTCATATTTTAGCTTGTGACAGAATCAGAATTATGTATAGCACTTTCATTATGTGAAGTGTGCCCGGTATCTGATATCGATGAGGTAGCAAAAACTCTGTTTGCAGTATTCGATTCGCGCAATAAGGCGATGCCACTATTAAAAGCTATTATCGAAAAAGAAGTTTCGAACACGGGTATTGTATGATCTCCTTTGATGTCGGTTTTTCTGAAATCGCTCTCATCACTTTTATTTCATTTTTAATAGAACATGAATCCGACTTATTCCGGCGGAATTGTATGGCCACCCGAATGCTTGCAGCATTTGTCAAGGTGTATGGAACCGAGTATCTTCGTGACACGCTACAACCTTTGATTCATGATCTTTTGTCGAAACCTGATGATTTTAGTTGTGAATTGAATCGCGATAATCTTGGTCCGGACGAAGATATTGAGAAAAATTTGAAAAATTTGAAAAATACCGCGCAGGCGTTTCTTGATGGAATCTGCAATTCTGGAAGGATCATGCCTACGTGAGTACTTTTTTTTTTTAGGTCTTTAATTTCTTAATCTTTTTTATTTTATTAATTTTTATATGAATCTTTTCGTAAATAGCCTGTATAGGTATGTCTGTCACTACATAGGGAATTCGGTAGAAGAAAAATATCCGCGAGCGAAATCTACTACCGTTGGTGCTTTTGTATTTCTACGATTCTTCAATCCTACGATCGTATCACCGGATAGTGAAAACCTCTGTAAACCCATTGAAAATCAGAGGATCAAACGAGCTCTATTATTAATAACTAAAGTTATACAGAATTTGGCGAATAATATATTGTTTGGTGCCAAGGAACCGTATATGATCGTGTTAAATGATTTCTTAGATGCCAATATTGTGAAAGTGACAGCATTCTTGGAGGAAATTTCTGTAAGACTTGTTAAAATTTATGTATTGTTTATTGTTTTTGCTGAATTTATTAAAGTCATAATTAATACGTGCTCCAAATTTTCATGGCATGTAGAAATCACAAAATCTTCCACCATTGTCTGAGATAGGTGAACAATCGAATATCCGTAGACTAGATGATATAGACCGTAAGGCACTCCACAAACATTTGAGCAAAAATCAAGAAAAAATAACAAAGGAGCTGCAGGCACACCGAGTGAAGTCTATGAGTTCCGGAAGTCTCACAAATACAATGTCAGAAAAATTTAAAGCGAACAAGAAGTCATGGGACAAAATATCAACATTGTTAGCACAACTCGGTACATTTACTGAAAGTCCCAAAAAAGATTTCTTGATCATTAATAGTCGTCAATCTGGGACCAGTCATCATTTGTTTGAGGAATTCATGCGACAAAACGCGACTCGTAACGTTGAAAGTATCATTTCAAAGGGTGTATTCTACGAGGGTGGGGTTTCGAAAGAGAAACGACCAGTGTTTTATTTGATACTGCGAAGACTTGAGGCAGAATCTACGGACATGGAACTATTGATGTATCACGTGCTCAACGTAAGTAATTGGTTTAAAATGAGATGATTCGTGTAGAATTTCTTAATTGAATATACCATTTATCTACATTTTAGACGATTGAAGCACACATGAGTAAACCCTACGAATTACTGGTTGATCTTACGCAGTTTAGTCAAGCCAACGAGATACAATCACAGTGGATTCACCAATTCCTCCAAATACTTCCATTTGACGTAGTAGATAATTTGTCTGCATTGTATTTTTATAATGCCAACACGGCGTTCAAGAAATTCATTAAGAAATTGGCACGACCATTACCCAATAAAATCATAAGGAAGACATACTTCTTTTTAAATATGACAGAGTTATACGAATTCATATCTCCCTCTGAGCTGCGATTACCAAAGAAAACTGGTGAGTTGATATTTTATGTGTATAGGAAAAAAATTTTTAAGTATTTTTTTATAATTAACTGGCATTATGATTTTATGACACGACGTTTATTTGTTCAATTTTTAGTTTCTCTCGACGCTGATGCATTCGTTGTCTACTCGCCAGTGACAAAAATATCGCATTATCGAATGCAGATTCCAGTCACCATGAAAATAAGTCATGAAGCAGTTCAAGTCATAACGGTAAACTATTCATTCATACCAATAATACTTATTCAATGGTGAAAATTTTTTGATATATTTCTTTCCAAATAGACTAAGAAACAGGAAATATTTAACGGACTGAGTTGCCAACTGAATGATGTTTATCATATATCGGAAATTGAAGATATTTTGCTCTCGCCACACAAAAACGACGATAACGAATTCATTATTAAGCAGGATCGTGGTCGTTCATCGTTCGCGTTTAGTAGTCCAAAAAAAGAATCAATTATGCAGGTAACTGGCTGAAAATTTTTGATCACAATACAAATTACTTTTAAACATCTGTTTACTATGCGCTCTGAGTGAATTGTTTGATCGATCTATAATTTTTCTTATTTTAGGCAATTCGAACATCAAAGGCACGGTATCAAATAGCGAAACCAACCAACATTACTGAACGAGTTATTCGACCTAATGACGTGCCGGGAACGCTATTGAATATGGCATTATTGAATATAGGAAGTGAAGATCCAAATCTCCGATTGGCAGCCTATAATCTTTTGGTGGCATTGAGTTTGATATTTAACTTTGACGTGGGAAATCAACTATTAGGGGCCAAAGGTTTGTTCACGCTTGTCATTTATTTTCCCATGTAGTCCCCAGTTTTTCCTCATCAAATATGCTTATTTTTTATATCCGCCTACTTTCTTGTCACACAGGATTGTGTATACCGGCCAATAATACTACATTCGTTGTTGGATTAAGTGAACGTCTTGCACAATCAGAGCCACATCTTACGCCTGATTTCTTGATGGAATTCTTCGTAGGGTTTAACAAGTCTAGTACCCAATTGAAACATCTTTGTCTTCAATATATGGCCCCGTGGTTATTTAATCTCGCTCATTTCTGTCGAAATGGAGCCGAAAATCAACAAACTATCACAAGGACACGTGATATAATTAGGAACTTGATAGAATTGACCACCAAGGAAACCGAGGTATATCTAATTGTCAGACTTTTGAAATTAACAATATACTTTATTTTTAATCTAATCCTCGCTTTATACAATAGATGTATGCTGCAATCCAGTCCAAAGTGTGGAGCACGCTAGGAAAAGTTGATGAAATTACCAATCTGATAATAGATGAATTTGTACAATATGCAGTGCGTCATGGTATAAGTTCGGTACAATCAGAGACTGTAGCTAACACGATTGTCACGCTGTCATCTGTCAACATTCGGGGAAAGATTATTGCAAAACTACGAAAAGTATGTTTTTCGATACGGTTGCATATAATTAATTAATTTATCGATATCTAACTCTTTGATTTTGTCATTAACAAATTAACTTATTCAACATTTACATTGTCAATAGGTAATATCAAGGACATCACAAAAGCCTACCAAGACTCTTACTGACAATCCTGCTTGGTCAGAGATTGCAGTGCTTGTACGGTTTAATCTTATGCTGTCATTTAATAATAGAAATGTTCATCTCTATTTGCCCGAATTGTTTTATGTAATCTCTCTACTTGTGGCAACCGGTCCACCACTGATTCGATCGTCCATCCACGGATTAATCGTTAACTTGGTTCAATCTTTGTGTACCTCAATGCCATTGAGTGAGTCAAGCTTTAAACGACTGAACCTATTGTTAACTGAATTATCGGAACCAAACTTTCGATACTTCTTTGGATTAAATAAGGTTCCAGGAAATGCATTCGCCATATCTCCTGAGTCAACAGTTGACCTACATGATATTATGCCGCTTGCTTCACTGGAAAAGATTGTTCATGCATTACTCGAAGTTATGGTTTGTGGCGCCGGGTCCGTTGGTAAGTGTCGATGCTTATTTAACACATTTTGTTTTGATATTGTTTGGCGGTTTGTTATGAAATATTAATACAAAAACTTTGACAGATATGTCGAACACGTGGAGAGCTCGATGGATGGGCCTGGTGGCCAGTACAGCATTTCAGTACAATCCAGCAATACAACCTAGGGCATTTGTGACGTTGGGATGTCTGGCTCGGGAAGAAGTTGACGACGATCTCTTGTATCAAATTTTGGTAGCATTGACTGGGGCGCTTTCATGTTTCACTGAAAATGATTGTTCTTTAATAATAAGCATTGTGATGTGCTTAACAAACATAGTTGAAAACCTGCCATCTGATTGCCGGTACCTGCAGCAAATGTTTTGGCTGGCCATGTCCTTGGTGCAAATAGGACATGTTCCCCTATTCCCCAGTGCTATTAATTTACTTCATGTAATGCTGAAAGCTCTGGATTCCAATGGCTTCTTTGCTGAAGAAGATATGGCCACTGTATTGTTGAAAGCGCGAGTACCATTAGAGGATATTGCCATAAAGATGGATAAAGAAGCTGGGGTCAATTACGAGCATTTTTCATTCGCAGTGACGGTAATTTTGCTCAAGGGACTAAAGAATCCAGTAACAAAAGCCGGCACGCAAGCTGTATTAATGGCATTTTTGGATATTGCCGCAAAGAGAGTACAACAAAGCGATAAATCCAGTAACATTATACATTCCAGCATGCTAGGATATTTGGCGGCGTTATTGCCAGCATCTGCAAAAAATGCTGACATGAAAGAACTATTATGGCAATGTGGCATAACAGACATTGAAATTGATAATTCCGAATTGGGCACCACTTATTACAAAATATTTGAAAAACTTGAAATGCCCGATAATCAAACTGCACTTTTATTGATATCGCTTATGGTTGCTATTTTGCAAACTGCTGAACATGAAACCGAACGTTTGTTCCTTTACGGGTTCCTGTCCGAAGCAGCTGTGTCATTGCCTGAAGTTTTTGCTTTAGCGTATCCTTTTTATACACTGTTAGTTTCCTGTAAATATTATAAACTTAAATTTTATACTTAACTCTTATTACATCATTTTACAGTTATGATAGCTTACTACCGAAGATGATTCAGATTATCAACAATAGCGAATCTATACAGATCCTCGATTCCGTCCAATCAATACTTTACACCATTGTCTCGTCAGAATCCACCAATAAAAGCAAAATACCCACCAGCATTTCCAAAAATCAACTATCATCATATCTTGAAGATATAGGTTTCACTCATTTAATGGATTGTGGGTCATTCTCAACAGTGACAAAAGAAAAAATGAAAATCAATGCTACTTATGCTAGCAAATTGGTGGATAAAATAACAAGTGGTAGAGGATAAAATTTCTTTTAAAATCAGATTCTATTTTCAAGAAAAATTTATTGTACATATATATAGTAAAAAAAAAAAAAAGAAAAAAAAAAAATAGAAAATCATGAAAACACATTGAACAACATATATGCATGAATGCATATATATATATCAAGCTTAACACAATCATTCTTTTTATTTATTATATAGTATAAATTTTCATATGCATTTATTTTGATCCAAATTAGATAACATTTATTGTAATTTTACACTTAAAAAGATGGAGGCTATACTAAGCTTTCGTCGTTTATCCTTCATTTTCTGAATGGTTCCCTTAAGATTCTAACAAGTTTAGATTGATAATTTACTCCGAAATTGTACCAATAATTTGTGCACCATGTGTATTTTTGGTGCAGCGAATAAATAATTATCCCTTTTTATTTATTTATTAGACCTTTTCAGACCAGAGGTCTATGGATAGTTAAGATTTAGTCACTATTGCGATACCTTACATATATCTTAATTTATATGCCAATTTTCATTTTCATTTCTGAAAAAATTCTTCAAAATTCTCATTTGGAATTTTCAGGTCAAACATTTTTATTATTATCAATTCTTTTAAAATGTATTAGAAATATGCAAATTTATAAATTATCTCATCTAATTTTTCTGTGCATAAGCCTTTCAAAAAGGGTTTAAGCATCATTGGTTTTACAGTATTTATATTTAAAATGTATTTAGTCATTCCTTCGATAACATTCCAATGCTAAGCATTACTTGTTATATTAATAGCCAAATCAATTTCGACTTTTTTATATAACTCGCAATCGCCAATTGATTTTATTAGCCGTCAATCCTCAACAAATAATCATCCTCAATACAATCAAATAATAACATTCTTTCCGGTACAACTTATGATTCTACTATTTAAAACAATTTGTTTATTTGTAGACCAAATGCAAAAATTCCGTTTTACCACTCAATTATATATTCTTAAAAATTTGATATTTTTGTATATTGCCTTCCCCAAATTTTATTTACCTATAATAATTTGTTAAACAATTTAATCTATAAATCATAAATAAAAAATTGAATTTTTGAATTTTTCTTTATTCTAATATCAAAATATATGATTTGATCGAACAAGTAACTTCAAACATTATATCTATTTATAATGCAATTTTTTTTTGAAAGGGAATATTTACTTGTGAATTCAAAATATATCAAGTTACAATATTTTAAATTGAATATAGATAGATATTGATTATTAAAATTCAAATTTCTAATTGTTCTTAAAATAGAAGATTTATATTGATGTTTAATGAACTTGCTTCATTTAAAGAATTCCGATAAGATAAAATTACTTGAAAGAAAGACAATATTTAAATAACAATTATGTAAAGATATTATCAATTTATTTAATATCAAAACCTATCAAAATACTTAGTTTATGATTGGATCTTTCTTGACTTATGGCTTATTTTTAAAAAAATGATATTACTAAAATTTTCCAAAATTTTATTAACTTTAAATAGATTCCATCATATTTTATTATTTTTCTCAAGAATTTTCAAAACCTCTATAGTTTCTAATGGTACAGCAACTTTGGAGCTTTGTTGCTCAAAATCCAGATTGACAAGCTTCTGTGATTATAAGTAACTATTTGCAGAAAGACTAAAGAAAATTTTTTGTTAAGAGTTCAAAAGCATTAACAGTAATACTTTGAGTAATTTCACTTTTTTTAATAAGAATTTTCTTTGATTATCCAAAGTGTAATAACAATTCTTTAGTCAATTTTTTTAAGTAAATAGATGAATCTCAATTAATTAGGTCAGAAGCAATCTACAATTAATCAAAACATGAAAAGATTGTAATTTTTCTTTTCCTCAAAAAAAGAATAAATAAAACATTAAATTTTTGTAATATTTTAATTTTTTTTAATAAAAATTATTATTATTCCATATTTTTCTTGTTTTTTTTCTTTTGAAATTCAAAATTTTTATATTATCTTTTGATTTCAATATATTCAATTGAAACAATATTTAATTGTTTATATTAAATTACTTTACTGTTTGAAACAAAATATATGAATAAATTAAATTATTAAGAATTGAAAATTATTATAATTAATAATTTCAAGTTTGTCAGATGAAGAACTAAAAGTTTTAATATATAATTTTTAATAATTAATAATATGATAAAATTTAATCAAATATTTGAAAATCAAGATAATTTTTTTGCTGAAATTGAAATACTCAAAAAATTAAATGAAGAATTGGAAAAAATTATTTCAAATATTCCTAATTCAATTTGTTGTCACAATTTTATTATTTCTAATGCCCCTTTAAATAATCAATTTTTTGAACAATTTGATAAGATTTATAAAAATTTTGAAATAAATCTTGATCAAATTAATAAAACAAATATATTTGAACTTTGAAAAAATTTTATTCAAAATATTAATAATATTTATGTATCTATTGCAGATATTTTTTGGAAAGATCATGTATCCAAATAAGTTAAGAAAACTTAAAATTAGAATAGTAAAAGCACATATTTTCTGAAGTCCAAAAAACCAAAATAGAAAATGTATCAAAACCTACATCAAGACAAATAGATACTTATTGTTTAATGGCTGGAATTCCAGATTTACAAGATATTTAGTAAAATATTTTATATTAATTTTAAAATAACAATTTAATAACAAATAATTATCAAATAGGTCCATATCATCTTGTAGATCATGATAATACAACTTTGATATGAATAATTAATCTTGATAATCAAAAAAAATTTTTGGATATTGCAGATTTTTGTATTCAATAATACTGGTCATACTTCTAATAATAAATCAAAAGAATTTTATGAAAAATTAGGTAAACATTTTGGAACATATAGATTATATTCCATGTTTTATAATTTTGAAGATTACTTGGGAACTACTGGAAGTTGTCAAGATCATTTATTATTTGTATATTTTATTAGATATATTGATCAAATGCTAGATGGAATTAAGCCATTAGCTAATAGTTTTGACTAATTTAATAAAAAATTATTATTCAAAATAGTATCAAAAATATATTTCTGTATAATATCCAAAAAAATGTATTTTTAATTATACATATATATTTTATATTTATTAATAATAATTAAATTTATTACAAAAAAAACTTCTACAAATCTCAAAATTCTTAAAAATTTCTTTTTTTAATACTTAAAAATACTCAAAAACACTCAGAAACTTTTAAAGAAAATATTAAAAGGAAAAATCTCACATCTTGAAAATAAAGGACCAGATATAACAAGTATATTATGGTCAACTTTTGATAAAAGAAAATTATTTAATGTATGACAAAATTTATATTGTCATTGTAAATCCTATAATTAGATAGAATTATTGTAACTAGGGTTTCTCTTATGCAAATCAATAATTACTGTTGAATTTATTGAAGTTACATAACTATCATAACTTCAATAAAAATTGTCAAAATATTAAAATTTTAGTGTTTTTTTTTTTAATTTTTTTTAATAATTTATTTAATATAAAAAATTATATAATTTAAAGCTTAATTTTATACATTATATATATTATTATAATAATAAATTAATAATTAAGTTATAAATTTAATAAAAGTTATTAAATTTTCAATATTTTTTTATTTTTTTATAATTATTAATTTAAATGAAATAATTTTATATTATTAGGTTTTTTTTAATTAAAATTCTATAACAATACATGTTTTATATATAATTAATTAGGTTACAAAATTAATTTGAGGTAAAAATAATTGATATTCTTATATATGCATACATATTTCAAATCTTTTTTCCAAAACTTCTATTTTATTTTTACAATTATTATATTAAACAAAAATAAGACATAATATCAGATTTGCTAAACACACTTTAAATTGATATCAAAAACATACACTTTGTTAAAACAAACAAATTCTGATCCAAATTAAAACTTTGACCCAAAAATATAATATTAATTATGGTACTGCTTCTAAAATTCTGAAAAATAATGACCATTGGCTTAATATTGATCTTAGCAGTTTTGAAGCTCAAAGAAAAAGACAAAAAAGTCCTAAATATCCTTTATTGAAAGAAGCATTAATGTTATAGGTTGACAAAGTATTAAAAGCAAATTTAATCATTACAGGATTTATTTTAACATACTAGGTACAGGAATTTGCCAAACTTCTAAAAATTTCATATTTTAATGCATCAGAAGGCTGGTTAACAAATTTCAAAAAAAGAGTAAATTTGAAACAATTTGTATATTATGGAGAAGTAGTGTTCCATTGAAAGAACTTTCTGGATTTAGAAAATCTTTACAAGATTATTAAGGGATTGGTCTTTAGAAAATATATTTAATTGTGATGAAACAGGTTTTTATTGAAAAATGGAACCTTCAAGATATTTTGCAAAAAAAGTAATAATTGGAAAGAAAAAAAACAAAGAACAATTCTTTTTTGTACAAATTTTACAAGTATTTATAAAAATTATTAATTTTAATAATTTTATTTACTTACATATTTGTATATTTATTTTATTAGGTTTTATAAAAATGAAATCTTTTGTTATTTATTACTTCAGATATTAAGTAAAATTAAGAGACTTTCCAATTAATTATTATTGGGATAAAACTGCCTGGATGGTTATCATAATTTGAAATGAATTTTTAATTCAATTAAATATTCAAATGAAAGAAGAAAATAGATCTATTATTCTTTTTTATGATAGAGCACTTGCTTATTATAGTAAGAATAATTTAAAATTAGATTTGTTAAACATTACATTGCATTTATTGCCTTCCAATATAACGTCTCATTTACAACCAATGGATATAGAAACAATTCATTTATTTAGGATAATATTAAATTTTGATTATTTATTTGAATATATTAATTAAATTTAATTTATATAAGCATTAAAAAATTAGTAAAATTTAAGGTGAATCAGTTTAACCTAACATAATACTAATAAAACTTCTGAAGATATTAATATCAAACATGCAATATATTGAA